ACCAGAGACATCCAGAGACCCAGTGCCATAGGCTTTCATCATGTCAATGTGCCTCATACATGCACAAACAGAAATATCATATATAAGACTGATATGCTATGATACGCTTTGCCGCATCCTGCACACAAATAATTAGGATCTTAATGTTCACATGCAATTGGTTGATGGATGGCTGTATGCATTGTGCAGACAGCATGGTTTAAATGGTGGGGCCCGTGACATTTGACACAGTGTGTCAGATGCTCCAGGTTTGCCTGATTGGCACACATTCAGATTCCGAGAGTCGCGAGGTCAGTGAAGAGGAGGCGAGGTACGGTCGCGCTTTGATTCAATGCATCATCCAGACTATGAGAACGTTTATGTTGGATTGAATGGTGACAAGGGCATGGCGTCAATTGTATTGAATATCCATAGTGGTATTGTCATCATGCAAACAGGAGTTATACAATGTTATATATATATATATCATTTGATTCACTAACATGGAAGTGGAAAACCACCTGTTTGTAGTGGAAAATGGTCTTCCCTGGGGCCATTGTCCATTTCCATGTTAGTGAGTGGGAGTGTATATATAAGCGTCCTCGGCATAGGTGCTCAAAGAAGCTGAGTCCTTGCAGTGTTCCTATCATGCCGTCTCCAATCTCACCGGCGAGGGTGTGCAGGAGGCAGAAGCTCAGTCAATCGCCAACCAGATTGTGGCTTTGATAATTTGAAGTGCGAGGGGCTTTTCTTGTTCAATCCAAAAGCTGGAAGCATCGAAGTCAAAGGTAGAAAATCATATTATCCTAGTGGCGTTGAAGCGCACCTTGTGCTGGCACGGGGGTTGCAGGACATGTTTTTGCTGCCCGGAGGCCTTCCACAGTTTGTTGGATCAATACTTGGACAAGATCAACAGCCGGACTTCCGATGACGCCGTGGAGATTTGCAAGACCTGAGGTTTGATCAGTTTGATCATTATGTTTTGCTTGGATAGTGGGGCATATGATGGAAACAGCGAACTGATCAAGCCCGTGCACTGAGCATGCAGGCACAGTGCAGGAGTGTTTAGTTTTCCTTAATACTTTTGACATCCTATGGCTTTAGCCATGTGTGTAAAGGGCGGGTGAACATGTTTCTAGATATATAGGTGGCATGAAGCTAGCAGCCGGATACCAGCCACTACCTGCCAGAACCAGATGGCAAAGCATCGTACTGTAACTATGTGACGGCCATGTGGTGCTGATAGCAACTCATGTCCTGTCCGGGGCGGCACGTGAAGTCATGCGCTCCGTGGATTTGCAGATCGAGCCCCAGCCCATCTATCAGGGCAAAAAGCGAGAAGATCGCAGCGAAGAGTTGTGGTTGTGAAGATTGTTTTCTCGGAGTCCTGCAGCAACCTGCACTGTTCTGACACAATAAATCAACACGTATGATTTTTTACAAATAAAGAAAGCATTTCATAGTTTAATATGGTTGTCAGTCTGAGCCCACTTTGACCCCTCAGTTTCTCCATCTCGGCTAAAGACAACGAAATATTTCAGTATGGACGTTGGCCAGTGTTTCTGAGCTATTGAATATTTTTTGCAGTTGATTCATCACATCAGCCATTCCTCATGTTTGAGCAGAACAGTTTTGGAATGATACCTTCAGCATCCTTCTTGACTTGCGCACTCGGAACGGGGTCCTGGCGGCTGCACACACACACACACACTGCACACGGAGCAGAATCCTTCCTACAACCTGCCGCGCAAGGATGCATTTCGCCACTTCTGGAACTCATAGACAACATCCTGAGTTGGACAACTGCTTGTAGGCAAATCACCCTGCACTAGGCAATCCTTGTATAATTTCCGCCGCCGTTTGCCAGATCGACAAGTTGCTGCAAAACCCCTGCACTTAGGACTAAGATGGACTGAGCAATTTCAATAGCAAATGCCTGCCTATATCACTGCAGCCACTCCAGCAACTACAAGGTTCATGACCAAGCCCAGAATTGACGCATTAACTTACCAGCTGCAAATGGACTTTGATACTTTGCTCCTCTCAGTGTCCTACCGATCCTACCACTTTACTGTATAGACCTGATCGACCACAGCATGCAGCGAATCCAACAGTGGTACAGCGCTCATGCATCGGGCATGGCTCCAGCTGCCACTGGGGCTGGCTGTGGTGCAGCTCCGTCGCAGAGAAATCAGCTGCGAGGACGTGCAGGCGCTGTGTAGAAGCTGCAGCTAACCCTTAAGCATCTTCAGTTCAGTCAATGGCTTATTTTCCCCCAGAAGAATGAGAATATGGCGTCGTTCGGACCAGAAGAGCTCTTTTCCTTTGGTCCGTGCAACGAAGTGCGAAAGGGTGCCAGAGTGATATATAACTATAACTAACCCTGCCCAGTCAGTGCATAACCTGTGACCATTTTGGGGGATTGGCTTCCCCATGAAACGGGAACAGGGCACAAAAATGTTAACCTTCATTTTGCAGGGAAACTGAGGGAGTCGGCAACTTATAGCTGACCTTGCGTTGCAAGTTTCAAGATCTTGGCTTGCTGCCATCCATTGCCACACTGACTAGCGCAAGGAAAAGGTACTGTAGGTTTACATATGGATGTTTTGGCATGGTTGACCTAAATTTGTCGGTGCGATGCTAGGTCAGACGCATTTCTCTCGATTTGATCGGTCCGGTTCTTCATGAGGCCGACCTTCGGTATGTGCGCGATGGCAGCTGCGGTCGGAGAGGGGTTTTGAGTGGTTCCTCGCTTCAAGGAATTTGGTTGGAGATCATTATAAATATATGGGCTTGTCTTTTTTTTAGGTGTCCAGTTTATGTAGGACTGGGATGTTCGACTTAGGCGAAGCATACCCTGAAGCATACTCCCGAAGCATACCCTGAAGCATACCCTCTGGAAATGCTACTACTTTAGTCTTCACACTGCGCGAAGCATACCCCGAAGCATACCCCCGAAGCATACCTCCGAAGCATACCCCATAGTCAAACATCCCGGCCCGGGAACCTTAAAAAAATACAAACCCATATATATATATATATTATTTGGTTGTATGTTTTACTTTTTTGCATATTGATTTTAAGCATTACGATGGCACAGGGTCGTCATAGTTTCTCACGTTCATACTTGTTTCCAAAGCTCCTTTGGATTACACCATGTTCGACCATGTCGCACATATCAAGAACACATGTCAAATTTGTTCAGAATGTAACAATCATGAACTCTTGAGGCTTCACCGTTAACGTTTACCCTGAATGTCTGAGACTCAATAAGACGCTCGCCTGAATCAACGGTAGCCTGCTTCAAGAAGCTGCAGGAGAATGAGCTATGCCTCTGTGCTGGTGCGGGATGCTAGGCGCGGTCAATTTCTCTCGTGGCAAGACTCACGTGGAGAAACTGATCAGTGTCCTCAGCAGGTTCTTTTGAGCCAAAGATTTGAGCTCAGGCTTAGACCTGCAGACCTCCTGGTTTAACGAGGATGTATTTGCTGGCCCCCCACATGTCAAAGCTGTAACTCAGTGGATTTGCCCAGGCAAGTGCCAGGCATTTGCTTCCAGCAGCAAGGCTTTCAGATCTTGCCGTTCAAGACCCAACTGAAGGATGGGTTGGCATGGATTACAACTAGAGTGCTTGAGTGAAGCATGTGCTTGTGACTTTACGATGTCTTGCCTGTCAGGGGGACATATTTCTCTCCAAGCAGGCAGAGGTTCAAGATCGATACTATGAGGAGGTTTGTCGAGCCATTCAAGAAGCCACTGGTGCAGACTGTGTCCTTGCTTTTCACCACAATGTGAGACATCAGCGGCCGCTGGAGTCCACGGACTTCGTGTGCAACACGTATGACTACCGGGTCTTTTGATGAAAACATATTGAAACCATTTGAAAACGATGTATGATAGAAGGAGGTGCACAATAAAGGTATACGGCCATGATCCAAGTGATATATTTTTGATTGTTGTTTGGCCAATCCTAGGTTCATGGTGACTACACCCCGGAAAGTGCTCGCGAGGTTTTTGAATGGCAGCTTCCAAGAGCCAGCAGAGACAAATCTGAAGTTCGAGCATTTCGGGATGGGCACTTTCTCCTGGTGAATGCGTGGCGAAATTTGAGCCCAGAACCTGTTGAGAACGATCATTTGGCTGTGTGCGATGCAAAAAGCATTTCAGAGGATCATTTGCTGATGATGGGTGCGAACAGCAGTTCGCCGCAGCCCACAGCGCTTCGCCGCAGTCCATGCCTCACCGCGGAGAACTTCACTGAACGAGCCTCAGGACCCATGGCACGCTTTGACTGCAGCTCTGAGCATCGGTGGTACTATTACCCAAAGCTCCGCGAGGCCTGTTTTTGGGTGTGTGTGTGTGTGGAGACCCGAATGAAGGCCCTGGGAAAGGAAGTCTGCGGGAATTGGTACAGTAGATGTTGGGTGACAGTGAGACAAACAGTTGTACGAATAGGCGTGGCCGGTGTGGCTTCCCAGAGATTCCCAGAGCATTTGACATGTTTGATGACCAAATGTTCCCATCATGATGGCCCATCATGTTAGGATGAGCTGCTGATCTTCAAATGCTACGACTCCACGCCCGACACTGTCTCCCGCTATGTCCTACACTCTGCGATGCGCGTTGGACTCGGCAGGAAGTCCCGAGAGTCCATTGAAGTGAGAGCCATTGCTTTCTTCCAAAAAGGAGCGACTTGCGAGCTGAGTGTTGAATAGAGGGTGGGAAGCGAGCATCCAGCACCTTGCAAATGCCTTCTTCTAAGATTCCAACTGTTTTGGCCTTCAATGGGCTTACTATTGCCTTCATGGGCCTTCATTGGGCGTCCAAAGTGTAAAGCTTGTCTTTGTGACTGATTGCAGGCTTTGGGCAAATGCTAGAGCTGACGGCAAGGGCTGTTTGTGAGCATAATGTGGGTAGAAGCCGTATATCTGAAGCACCAGGACACATGCAGGATAATGCGGATCAAACACAAGAGTCCTAGATAATTAAGCCATTCCGACGGATCAGATCACAAAGCCAAGGACGCAGATCATCACCCAATGCATCAATCCGAGTTGGAATCAAATCTTGGAGGCCTCGTCGACGGTCTTTAGGAACGTGCGTTTGGATGTCCCTTCCATTGTGCGAAGTGTAATCAGTCAGTATTCTATTGGAAGTTTGGAGTTTAAGTCGGCTGCGAGCTGTAATGGACAAACATGAATCGCAGGCCACATGAGCCCTCAACATGGAGGGAAGCTTCAGGAAGCTTCATGAAGTTTCACACTTAAAATAGACGAATGTAATATATATTGTAATATAATAGAAGTTTTTGCATGACTATTAATCTCCCACGTCTTCTCACACGTGAGGAAACCGTGAGATTACCTGATGACGTGACCTTGCGGCCCGACATCCTCATCACCCTATTGGACCCCATGCTGCGTCGACGTCGAAGAAAACTGATCCACGGATCGTCGGAGGGTTCTTCAGAGCTCGGATGGTTCAACGAGTCTTTTTGATGATGCGAGGGATAGAGAAGCGTTCGGACGTGTGAAGGGTGTTTCAGGCGGAACCTCTTCCTCCGCTGAAACCAGTTGAAACCTGGTTCGATTTGTCTCGATTTTGCTTTTTGAACCGCTCACGCCCGGATCACTCGACACAGTGACACGTCGTGACACGTTTTTGCGCGAGGACAGCGATGAGGGATCCTTCGAGCCGATGGTGCAGATGAGGCGAGGGTCGTTGAATCATTGGACCTTGCAAAATGGTATACCTGGATCTTCATAGCTATGCGGCATAGCTTAATGGTTTTGTGTCCAAAGGAGTTGCCTTTATGTGATCTATGCCTACTAGTCTAGAAATAGTTTCTACCCAAGCTGGAAATAGTTTCAGGGATTCGCCGAATAGTCTCAGGCAGGGGGGGGCCAAACACACAAACAGGCCTAAGCACGTCACAAGCTATGCCTTCTCCGCTTTTTCAAGCAAACGCCAGCTATTTTGTTTTAAAGCACTTTTTGCATTGACATGGTTTCTATGCTAAGTCAAGGTTTTGAACCAGCGATGTTTCCCGACAAAACGGCGACTTTCCCCGACCTAGCGACGACTTTTGCCGACTGCTAATTAGGCAACCTCTGTAAAAGCATGGAAATTGCGCTTTTGAAATGAAACTCCAAGTGCAATCCCCTTGATTGTTGGATTTTGAGGAACTCACAACTGTTTGTGGTGTTCACCCCCTTGATTGATGCGTCCAGTGGCAGGTACAAAGCCTCAGAACCTGACGCCCTACCTGAGGAGTGGAAGAAATCCCCCAGGCAGCAGTGCACTGGGAGACTATATTGAGTTCAGAAGGAGGAAGACGAGGAAGCCACCTTTTGCGCCTCCCTTTTTGAGTCACTGCCACTGCTTCCAAGAGTGGCCATTGCACAAGGGTTGGCACAATTTGCAGGTGGTTTCAGTTGGAACCAGTGCCCGGCGGCGTGCCGACTCAAGGAAAGATGCCACTTGGTTCAGTATTCCATTACCATGGTGTGGCACCCTTCATAAGGCTGTATTGAAGTACGGAAGTACATTGACATTGTGAATCAAGATTTGCGCAATTTGAATAGCCCGTTTTGTGGGTGGAGGCCAGAAAGGGCCTGAAGCCTTTGACCTCCTTCCAGGGTATGGAGGGGTATCTCCAATGCCTTTGTGAGACCGAGGCTGGCTGCTTTTGAGCTGGTGTCTGGGGTGGATGCGGGTCCCGCAAGGCCAGAACAAAGTCAGAGAGAAGATGGCGAAGTTTAAACAAACATGCGGGAACATGCATGACGTGTTATATCACTATCACGCTTGGTCTATTGGAAGTCCTTGGAAGCTGCCATTATTCAGCCGAACGACGTAGAACGTCGTAGACATTCAGAGATTGCGCCCCGGTCAAAGCCATGCGGAACGACAGAACCCTGCACACGAAGAACCAATGTTGACATGACCTGAGAACATTCGGGTTGACATCGAATTGAATGCGTCCACTCGCGTCAGCAATGAGCCATGCACACTTTGGCCCTTTGGGGTTCCTTGTGAGCCCGGCACTTGATCACTTAGCAGGGCGTCTTGTTACTAGTAGCTTCTTGTAACTATATATATATATATAGATAGCAGCGATGGCCTCCAACCTAATAGCGACGGCCTCCAACCTAGTAACCTAGTAGCTTCTTGTTGCTAGTAAGGATGACCTCCAGCATATCGATGGCCTCCAATCTAATAGCCATGGACTCCAGCCTAGTAGCTTCTTGCTACTAGTAGCGATGGCCTCCAACCTAGTAGCTTCTTGTTACTAGTAGCGATGG